CTTATCTGGTAACAAAAGTACTTTTACCACTGTCCTACTTGTATCTCATTGTGGTTTGGATTTAATCTTTCTGATGGCTAATGACACTGATTATCTCTTCATGTGTGTAAATGCCCTTAGTGAAATGACTGTTCCATTTCCTTGCCCATTTTATGATTGGATGATCTGTCTTTTTGTTGTTAAACTGATATATATTGATGTATTTAGATACTTGTCAGATATGTGATTCCCAAAGATAGTCTCCTATTTAGTATCTTGTCTTTACTTGTTTGGCAAAGTTTTTAGAGAAACAAAAGACAATGCTGATTTATATAAGGATAATAAAAACAACCCTTAATCTTGCTGCCAGGTTTTTTCCCCCCAGATGCCCTTTAGCCAAATCCAACATATGTATATTGGATAGATAAAAGGTGTTTCACAGTTTTCAAAGGCTATATTTATTTATCATTGTTCAATATTAATAATTTGGGGTTTTTCTAATTTCTTTTATTTGCATCATTATCTTGAACAGGATAGAAGTCATACTGAATAATCTTTTTTCTGTGTTTCCCTGTATGCATTTTTATACTTTCTTTTAAAAATTCTTTATAAACCTGACTCTAAAGTATTGGTAAGGAATCAAAACAAATCATTTCAAGTCCAAATCAGTCAATGATTATATACATATTTTACTAAAATATCCAAACTAAATCCAAGATACATGCTATGCCCAGATATCACTTTGCAAAACAGGGAAACTTATGCAGGCACATCTTATTGGAACCATTGTGCTGGACATGGCTTGCTGTTGGGATCATCATTGTCTGTTCTAGAGAAGACTCGGACATATCAGTTAGATGGAGTCCCAGAAGGCACATGCTTAGTGAAAAGGTCTCCAAGGCAGACCTGTCTCTCCTCGTTTCTCAAGTCTCTGATTTTTCCTGTAACTCTTGCCCACTGCAGAGAGAAATCACTCACTGTGGCATCAGTAAAGTGGGTAAGACTTTTAATAGGCTGGAATGAAGAGGACTTGACAGATTGTGTAAACTTTGGGTGATCCAGTGCAAACCAACATATGTGTGCCTTCTCCTGGTGGACTTGTATGGTTTTTCTGAAAATAGTTTTTCAATCCCAAGGATATTGTCAAAGGATTATTTAAGATGGTCTATGACACGTGTATAAGGCACAGATGAGAAAGTGTGGTTATTTAAGGAAATACTTTTTGGCAAGCAGAAAAATTTCCTAACCTACTTCTCTTTTCTATCATTCACATTTGTCCATAGGATGACAATGTGCTTTTTAATTTATATGACAATGTGATATCACCTCAAAAACCAAAGCTATTAGCAGGGGAATAAAGATGATAACTTCTATTTGCTATCTTTTAAAAAAAAAGTGGTGAGAAAAACAGTGAAGAAAGCTTAGTGGTGATACTTTAAAATTAGGGCTTCAGTTAAATATTTATTATTTTCTTTAATGTGACAAAAACATCTTAAGGAAACACATAGCTAAGATAGATAGTGGAAAGGACTTTATAAATTAGGTTATTAACTAAGCTACCAAGATTTTTTTAAAGACAATTAATGTCCCTGATTAAAGGGCTCTAATTTAAATCCTAAAATATAAAAACTATTTATACAATGGTACAAAAAGCCAGGCTTTATATTGGATTAACATCTGTTTCATATTTTTATAATTTTTCAGTGAATCTCTAAGGTTCAGGGACTTGAATGGATATGTGTATGTTGTTTTTGTTGTTGCTATGTACCATTGAGTCGCCTGCAACTCATAGCAACCCTATGTACAACAGCTCTGAAGCCTGCCCTATCCTGAGCCAGTCACAAGACTGACTCTGACACACCTACCCCCATTGCCCCAATTAGTGCATCACTCCATCTCATCTGGGATCTTCCTCTCCTGCACTGTCCCTCCACTCTTCCAAGCCTGAAGCATGTCTCTAAGGACTGGCTCCTCCTGGCCTTGTATTCAAAGTATATGAGATGGAACTTCAAAATCCTAGCCCCCAAGAAGAAACTTGGTTTCACCCTCTCCAAGACAAGCCTATTTGTTTTCTTGGCTGTCAGTGGTAGGTTCAAGACTCTTCTCCACCACCACAACTCAAAGACATCAATTCTTATTCTTTCATCCTTAGTCATTGTTCATCTTTTTATACATAGCAAGTAATTGTAAAGACCATGGCCTGGATCAGGCAAATCTTAGTCTCTAGACTAGCATCATTGCATCTCAGTGCTCTGAAGAGGTCTCTGACAGCATATATTTCCAGTACAATTTATCTCTTGATTTCCTGCCTGCTTGTGCCAAGAGTGTAGCTTGTGGAGCCAAGCAAGGTGTAATTGTTAACAGCTTCAGTCTCTTCTCCATCTGTCGTGGTGCTGCCAGTCGGCCCAGTGGTGAGAATCTTTGCCTTCTTGATATTAAGCTTCAATCCATTTTGAAGAGTACAGTCCTGCAGCAAGTGCTTCAGGTCTTCCTCAGTTTCAGCAAGCAAGATTGTGTCATCTGCATAACATAGGTCGATGATGAGTCTTCCTCTAATCCTGATGCTATACTCCTCCTCATAAAGCCTAGCCTCTTGAATGATCTGTACTGCATATAGATTAAAAAAAATACGGGAACAGGTTGCATCCCTGACTCACTCCTCTCCTGATATTGAACCATGCAGTGTTACCAGTGTTCATTGAAACATTATTCACAGCAGCCAAAAGATGCAAACACCCTAAGTATCCATCAGCAGATGAATAGACAAGTTATATGGTATATATGTAAAATGTAATATTGTTCAGTCATAGAGTGAAATGAAGTTCTGATACTAATTCGTGAGCCAATCTTAAAACTGCTATACTCAGTGAAATAAGCCAGATGCTAAAAGACAGCAATTGCATGATTCCACTTACATGAAAGGGAGCTCTTGTGGCCTGTAGTCCATAGGCAGTTATGACAGTAACTCAAAGGCTGAGCTGCTCTGGTGGTTCCAATTCACCAGCAGTTTCTTGGGATAAAGATAGGCAGTTTCCTCCTGTGATCTTTACAGCCTCAGAAAACCAGTGGAGGGTCTGGTATGAGTTGGCTTTGATTCAACTGCAATGAGAGAGGAAAAAATAAGTAAAATACCTAAAATAGATAAATTCTTAGAAACCAAGTTGAGGTCATCAGGGTCAGAGGGAGGAGGAAAAGGGATATTAGGCTTAATGAGCTTCTGTTAATAGAGTTTCTGTTTAGGGGTGATAAAAAAGTAGGTTTTTTGAAATAGTGACATTGGTTTCAGAATATGAGAATATAATTATAGTCATTGAATTAAATGCTTAAAAATTATTACATTGCCAAGTGTGTGTGTGTGTGTGTGTGTGTGTGTGTGTGTGTGTGTTATAAGGAGCCTTGATGGCATACTGCTGTTGTGTGCCATAGCTGACCCTCCAGTGCAAAATCAGGTAGTAAATCACATGTGAGGAGATTGCCCGCCCGGCTCCTGCAGAGCAGTTAATGGATTTGAACAGCATGCCTTTGGGGTTGCAGTGTAGGTTCTCACCACTCAGCCACCAGAATGGGGGAAATGACTGCAAACTGAACGTTCTGCAATTTGGGCCCGCCAGCCATTCCTCAGGAGAAAGAGAAAGCAGCCTCTCCCCTCTGAGACTTAAAACCTTGGAAACCCAGTGGAGGGTTGCCAGCAGTGGAGTTACGAGTTTGTGGTCCTGTGTTATATAAGGATCCTTGGTGGCAGTAGTGCTTTGTGTGGCAAGGCTGTGATGAGGTTCAACCCACTAGCCCCTTTGCAGTGTGATGCAGGCTGCTTCTGAGGCAAGGTTACCACCTTGGAAACTAGATGGAGTGTTTCCACAACTCAGAATCAACCCCAGTGCCTGTGGGTTGGGGTTTTCGTATATGTCCAACATGTCTTAAAAGAGCATGGGTAAGTTGGGGGGAAAAACCAAAGATGTGTGTTTAACTTTTTAAGTGTCTGCTTCGGTGACATTGATTATATATATTGTACCACCATTAAAAAGTGTATTTATTAATGAAATATAATGGAATAGCCAAATCAGCTATTTGGACCATTTGGGAGGGGAGAGAAAAAGACATTGTGTCCATAAATATTCATATTAGCAGGCAGGTCTGAACTGCATAGGACTCCTGCTTACTAAAGAGTTTAAGAATGAACCTACCATTAAAAATTAATACTATACAAATCAGAGAGTTGCACTGCTAATCCAAAGGTTGTGCCCTTCTGGCAGTTCAAATACACCAGCCGCTCCAGGGGAGAAAGTTGGTGAGAGAGGCCGAGACTCAATTATTGGTTAAACACTGTTGCTGTTATGTGCTGTCAAGTCAGAACCAACTCCTAGCAACCCTTCCGCAGATTTTCAGAGGCTTTAAATTGCACAAGAGATCGCCCATCTTTCTCCCATTGGAACTGCTGGTGGATTCGAACCACCTGCTTTTGGGTTGGGAACACAACTCCTTTACCCACTATGCCACCAGTTCCTTGATTTTCAACAGAAGAGTCAGGTGCTTTGACATGAGTCAAAGGCAAGTCATGTCTTTTCTGTGAGCTATTTATGATCATTATTGTTGGCCTGAATTCCTCTTAAGATCATTTTTAACTTGAAAATTCTCAGTAAATTGTGCTGAGCCTATGAAAAACCTAAAAATTTTCCCCAAACCATAGCATCTGTTCTGGATTTACAAACTGAAATAACTACGGATGTCAAATGAAAGAAGAATCTATTTTCCTTTGGAAAAATAAATGCTTTTTTAAAAAAAAGTTTGTATAAAAATATTTTTAGCCCTACGTTGTGCTGCCAACCCAAAGGCATGCAGTTCGAATTCACCAGCTGCTCTGCAGGAGAAAGATGCACAGTCTCTTCCCATGCGATTTACTGCTTCTGAAGACCCACTAGAGGGTCAGCTAGGAGTTGATTCTGATTCAATGGTATGTAACAACAAACATTTCTTTTCTTTTCAATGTGGGGTAGCTAATTGTTATCATTTATTCCACCCAGTGCCCTGCCAGACTGTTTTAGATTACTTGAAGACAGTCCTTCAGTACCACAACCAGCTAATGATACCACAGTCAGCTGATCAGCCCACCGAGGTAAGTCTCTCAGAAGACAATAAATGTTGTTCCACTTAGAATTTCTGTTGTTCACGTATGAACCCATTACCTGTACATTTCTATACTATGGAGGAAGATCATTGCATTTAACTGAAAGATTCTACTCTGCACCCTGAAAAGAAAGCAATTTAAGTAGTATGGACAACTGTTCCACCATTTTGGGGCACAGACGGGTGTTAAAACAGGAGACACCAGCTTGATGTTCCCTCAGGCAAGATCAGTGTTCCAGAAGGTTCCTCACTGTAGTGTGTCTGACACATTGAGTGGGATTTTCACATGTTTAGATTTGTGTTTTTTTCTAGACATCAGGGACCTTGAGCACACACCAGTCTCTTCCTCCAGTCCTAAGTGGGAGAAATCACAGTTTCTTGAAATGCATAGGGGAAGTGGCCTGCTTGAATAATAATGGTATGATAGTTTAAACATGGTTTTGAATACACCCTATTTCCATCTTGGGCTTTAGAACCTAAAGTTAGTGGCAGGAGCAATTTTACTCTGTCTTACTGCACATGATAATCTTATCCATAATGATGGATGTTGTTGTTGTTATATTCTGTCACGTTGACTGTGACTCATACCAACCCTATGAGCAACAGATCTTGCTCTGTCCTGCCCTATACTTACACTTTACAGCATAATCCAGCTCATTGTTAAAGTCACCGCGAGTCAGTCTATTTTGTTGATCTTCCTCTCTTTTTCTGACCTCCCACCTTTCCCAACACAATGTCTTTCATCACGAACTGGTCCGCCTTGACAGCATACCCAAAGTATGTGTGATGAAGCTTCACCATCCAAGGAGCACCCCCTGACTGCACTTCCACCAAGAAGTGACAGTCCATAAGATATTCAGTACTCCTTGCCAACACCACAGTTCAAAGTCATCAACTCTTTTTTTTTTAATCATCTTTATTCATTGTCCAACTTTTAGATGTATAAGAAGCAGTTGAAAAGGCTGTGGCTTGGATCAGGTACACTTTAAGCTGGATGGATCCTTTAAGCAAGGATCCTTGTTCTTTAATACTTTAAAGAGGTCTTTGATGGCAGATTTTCCCAATGCAGTATGTCTTTTGAGTTTTAGGATTTTTCTTTTATTTGCTACTAGTTTATTTATAAAATTTGAATTACATCTTTTGAGTTTTTGACTGCTGCTGCCCATGGGTGTTGATTATGGATACAAGTAAAATGTAATCATTGACAACATCAGTCTTTTATTCATTTATCATTGTAAGTAATGTTCTGTTTAAGTGGGTAAATTGTGTTCATTTGGCTGGGTAAGTTTTTCATACTAATTTGATAGGACGTTGACCTTCGATCATCTTGTGGTTGAATATCCATTGACAGCTCTGTATCTAATTTTAAAACACCCTATATTAACCACTGTATTAATAACTGTGACTATGTGCTTGCCCCATATCATTCTAAAGAAACGTAAGACAGCAGTGCTTTCGTCACGTCAGAAACCAGCAAATGAAAACTATTTAGTCAATCTGGTATGGTCTGTAAACCTGTCACCTTTAAGTGTGATCAGAGATTCAGTTCTTGTTGCGTCTTTTTCTTAGAACCTTATTTCTCATTGCCGTTCAGTCAGAACTGAATCATAGCTGACCCCTCCAGTGGGTTTTCAGAGGCTGTGAATCTCAGAGGAGGAGATTGCTCATGTTTTCCCCATTTGAGTGGCTGGTGGATTTGAACCACCGGCTCTTAGGTTGGCAGTACAACTTCTTGACCACTAGGCCACTAGATCTCCCTTTAACCTAGAGGAGCTAGTGTTTCTTTCTAGCTGAGTTAAAGAGAAGGAGAGTAGTGGGATTACAATGGACAGAGGTTGGAGAAATAGACTGTTTTCTAAAGAGTTCTTTAAAATCTAGTCCATTTCTCTACCCATTGTCCACTCCTATTGCCACTGTCTTCCTTCTCTTGAATTTAGAAAGAAACACCAAGTTGAATTTACGCCTACCCATTTGCCTTCACATTTATTTCTGTCTTTAAGACTCTCCCCAGTACTGAGTGGTGTCTCTTCCCTTGACCAGTGACAAGTCAGCTCTGCTCTTCTCCTTCAACTTTGTGCCATCAGTTTATTCCTTGTGTCTTGCATGTATTTCCCCCTCAGCACTAGTTGCAAACATAGTTCAGCTTTTCTATCCTGAAAATAAGACTTCCTTGGCTTTTTCACCCCCAGGAATCTGTCTTCACCTTCATTACTCATGAATGCTCTTCACAAGGCCCCACACTGTCCAGTCCAGGGACCCCTTTTCCAACTCATGGGCACCTAATTAGAAGAACAATGTATATATCCAGGCACACTTATGTACCTTAAAAAAGAAAGTAGTAAGGTTATTTTTTTAAAAAAATATTTCATATTCGATAGTTTTTAAAACTGCTTTCCTTCAAGTTTGTGATCTTATCTGGAAAGTGAAGAGTTCTCTGCCCATTTATCAAGAAAGTTAAAACCTAAGCCTCATAACTCAAAGGAGCACAACTGGGAACCCAGCCCCTGTTCCAAACCTCAGCCTGTGATACTACACTGTGTCCCTAAAAATTGGAGAGATATCTGTTTTGGGATGGAAATTGTCATGATTAGGAGTGGACAATTCAAGACAAGAGGTTTCTCAAATCTTTCACACTATCTCCTCATATACAGAAGGGCTCAGCTGTCCTCCTAGAATGTAGATATACTATTTGGAGGAAATTTTCCCAAAGAACAAAGAAAACAAAGAGGGAAAGGCTGTTTGCAGCCTAAAATACAACCCAGAATGCTCTTTTGAGTTATGGGTGAGATTTATAATTCTATTTTCACATAGTTAAACTGTGATAAATAATAAAAATGAGATAATGCCTGAAATGACAATAAAAACAGTACAGTAATAATGGTGGTGATGAATAATAAAAGTGTTCTCTAGAGGGACTAGAGAATTCTTTGTGTATTCTTTTGAATTACTACCCACATTTACAGTATTCTTCCACAACACAGTTCAAAGGCATCAATTCTTCTTCAGTCTTCCTCACTGTCTGACTTTGACATGCATATGAAGCAGCTGACAACACCACGGCTTGGGTCAGGCTCACCTTAGTCTTTAAACATCTGTTCTTGCTCCTTAGACCTTTTAAGTGGTGGTTAACACATCTGCCCAGTATAGTCAGTATATCATTTGAGTCCTTAGCTGCTGCTGCTATCACATATGTCCTTTGAAGAGTCAAGTAAAATGAGATCATCAACAACTCCAGTCCTTTCTCCATTTGTCATTTGCTTTTGCTCCAGTTGTAAGGATTTTTGTTTACTTTGATATATAATCTGTAATAAATATTATCATTTTTTATCTTCTTGCATAAGAGTTTCAAGTCCTTTTCACTGACAGTAGCCAATGCTGTGTCATCTGCATATTTCAGGTTGTAATGAATCTTCTTCCAATCCTGATGCCTCATTCTTTTTCATAAAGTCCAATTGTTTGTTTGCTTAACACACATATTGAATAGGTATAGTGAGTGGACCCAAGCCAACCCTGACCTTTCACCTTTTCTAATTTGAAACCATACATTTTCTCCTTGTTCTGTCCAAATAATTAATGATCCATGTACAGGTTTTGCATGGACACAATCAAGTGTCCTGGAAGTTTAATTTTTCTCATTGTTACTTAAAATTTATTACCGTCTACACAGTTGGGTGCCTTTGCATAGTTCAATAAAACAAAGATCCATCTGACATTAATAACATAATGATGTCCCTCACTCCTTGATTTCTTTGGAATCCAGCTTGAGTTTTTGGAAATTCCTTGTGGATATACTGATCCAGCTATTTTTAAATAATATTTGTCAAGATTTTATGTGTCTATGATATTAATGATATTCTTGTATCGTTGTTGTTTGGAATGGGATCTCTTCCACAGGTTGGCCAGGAAGCTGTCTTCAGACAACTGATGGGTCCTTATTTTTCTTCGGTGCCTCCAATAAAGCTTGGACTTCTTTGTCCATTACTATTGGCTCTTGATCATATGCTGCTTCCTGAAATGGTTCCATGTAGACTAATTCTTTTTTGGCACAGTGACTCTCTGTATTCCTATCTTTTGATGTTTCTTGAGTTATTCAGTATTTTCCTTCAATAATCCTTCAGTCCAAATAGCCCTTCAGATTTACAACTTAAGATTTGAATATTTTCTTCTGTTCTTTAGCTTGAGAATTGTCAAGTGGGTTCTTCCCTTTTGGTTTTCTAACTCTAGGTCTTTGCACATTTCATATAATAATTTCGCTTTGTCTTCTCGAACTGCCCTTTGTCATATTCTGTTTAGCTGTCTTATCTTTTCTTCCTCTTACTTTAGTGTCTCTACATTCAAGAACAGTTGTTAGAGTCTCTTTTCACATCCATTTTTTGTCTTTTTCTTTCCTGTAATGACCTGTTGCTTTCTTGGCTTAGAAAGTCCTTGATGTTATCCCACAAACTCACCTGGTCTTTAGTCATTAGTGTTCAGTGTGACAAATCTATTTTTGTGATGGTTTCTAAATTGAGGTAAGATGTATTGTTGCTGTTGTGAGATACTGTTGAACCCATTCTGACTCATAACAATGTGCGGTAGAACAAAGTCTTGCCAGTGCTGGGTCATCCTCTCAATCTCTGCTGTGACAATTGTTGTCTTTGTGTTGGTCCATCTCATTGAGGGTCTTCCTCTTCTTTTCTGACCCACACATCCTTTTGGATGTCTTTTTCCAAAACTGGTCCCTCCTGATGTTGTTGTTGTTAAGTGCCATTGCGTTGTAAACAACTCATAGCAACCCTATGAAAGACCTGAACATTTGTAAAACTTTGCTAGTTTCTCCAAGTTCATAGGGTTTCTGGAGGCCAGCTATTTCAGAAACGGATGCCACTCCTGCTTATGAGGTCTCACTATCTTCAGCTCCAGGGAACACCCAGCTGTACTTACTCATGGTCATATTTTGGCTCTTGTGGTGGTGGTGGTAAGTGCCGCCTGTGTCTCATAGTGACCCTATATACAACAGCTCTGACCCTGCTCTGACACACCTGCCACCATTACCCCAGTCACTGTGTCAATCCATCTCATTGAGGTTCTTGAGTACTTGTTTTAATCTTCTTTAACTCTAATTTGAACTTGCATATGAGTAATTACCACAGTCAGCTCTGGCCTTATTCTGAGCAATGATATTGAACTTCTCCACAAATTCTTTCTACAGATGTAGTCAGTACAATGTGTATTTTATCAGGGGTAGTCCATGTGTATAGTCACCTATGTGTTTTTCTAAAAAAAGTGGTATTTGTGGTGAGTAAATCATAGGTTGTATAGATTCATATCATGCTATGTCCAGCTTTATTTCTATCACCAAGGTCATATTTTTTTCACTGTGAATTCATATTCTTTGTTTCCAGTTTTTTAACTCCAGTCTCTAATTATTAGTGATTTCATGTTCAATCAATTTCAGACTGTCAGAGTTGGTACAAATCCTCAGATTCTTCATTGTTGGCTTTAACGGTAGTGCATCTATTTGAATTAGTTATATTAACAGGTTTCTTATATGAGTATTGATATCATCCTATCACTTCATGGCAGTTCTTGAAATGTTCTTTTTGGTAATAAATGTGACAACATTCATCTTTATCATTGTCAACATGGTAGACTATGAGCAGGGTACAGAACCTGACACGCTTCTTGGCCATGTGAGCATGGCATACAATAAGGCAAATAAAAATATCAACCTTGTGAGCTGCTTTTCCGATAGGGAGACAGATGGACCCTCACCAAAAGCCAAAAAGGTGAAATTCTTTCTTTCTTTTTTTTTTTTTAAAGAAAGGTGCTGACATTTGGAGAAGTCACGTTGTCTGCCGAATCCTAACCCTGCTCTGTAACTACATGGGTATCACCACTGCCTATGGGAAGAAATAGGTCAGGGCTACCGAGTGCTTGGGGCTGGGGCCTCTGCTTGGTAATCAGTACAGCTCATGAAAGGGCCACCGTTGCTAGTCAAGTTCTTGTGCAAAAATTTCTTTCTGATACAATTAGTAGTTTTAAGGATAATAACTCTTCTGGAGTTTTTGGTGGTGTTTTTTTTTTTTAATTTGATATATTAAAAATAGAGACTGCTCTTAAACAATGCTGCTAAAATGACCTGGCTGGGGATCCTACATACCTGAGACCCCCCCACCTGACTTCCTGAAGTTTGAAAATCAACCCAGTTAGTTGTACATGGAAAGTAACATAACTATGTTCCCTGCTGCCAGCCTTCTCCTCCCTGCCCCCACCCTGTATTCCTTAGCTTGACTGACATCTCCCAGAGCTTTCCTTGTTGTCTTGGTTGCCTGACCACTTTGATTCTACATCTTTCATCCTTATTTCCCGAACTTCACTACCACAGACTCAGGTCATGCCTTCATCATCGCTCACCTCCTGCCGTGAAACGGCAACCTCGGACTCTCTCTGGGCCGCCGCTGTCCCTCCATCCTACCTACTCCCTTGCATACAACCCTGTCCTAAGCTCTAGGAATACAGCAGTGAATGCTGTTGGGATTGCTAGCTGCGATTTAGCTATGGCATGGCTAACTGCACAGAGTAGAACTGAGCACTGTAAGGTTTGCTTGGCTGTGACATTTCAGAAGCAAATTGTTGGCTCCGTGGATTCAAACAGCCTACCTCTTGACTAGCCATGAAGTTTTAGCCTTGGAACCATTCAGGGACTTATCCCTAGCCATCATTTGATCATTTCCAATACAGAATCATATAGTCACATCTTAAACCTATGATTATCTGGTTCTTCTCATTTCACGTGTGGAGAAACTTGGGTCTGATAAGGTAAAGTAGTTCAAGAAGCACATCTAGTAACCACAATTCAGTTCAAACGTAGAGTGAGACTGTAAATTCTGTGCACAATTTTAAAAAAAAGTTCATCTACCTCTCTTACAAAGGAAACAAAGTCACACGTTTGCAATGTGAAAAGGGTGGTCCAGGTGTGTATTTCCACATGTGATCACTCATAGCCAAGTCTGGCTGCCTCTTTCCTGTTGGCTCCTCTGCCATTCACCCATCTCAGTGCTTAACTGATCAGAACGGTTTTTTTTTCTTTTAATAAAATCCTGTCAGACCCAAACAGTGCCAAATTTATAACCTGTAGTAAATTTGCAGAGTTGTATAACGGAATGAGTTTTTCTCTTCTTTATTTTGTACACCTTAATTACTGGGGAAAGAGTACATTAAAACTGAGATCATGGGTTAATTAGTTTGTCCTGGACTGTAGAATTTTATGGACAACCAGAACTAAAGTAATGGTTGTGTAGGTGCAATTGACTAAACATGGCTTATAAATGTTACAGAAATTCCCATAATTAGTCCCACTGCCGCTGTTTAGCCTGGGAGTTTTATGGCAGACATAAATTATGAAGGTGAAAAGTAAAGAAAAAAATGGGGTTGACACGGTGACATTTGCCGAAGCTGTAATTTGAGGAAACATGTTTTGAATTACTATTAATTTTTTTTTTCGCTTCCACCATTCCTCCTTTTTAAATTTTTTATGTTTTCTCTGTAATGCACTGGGCTATCTGATGTTAAGTATGTTCAACCGCAGCTCTACCTGATGAAAATAGACCACCAGCACCATTTCTCAGAGTACTTACCTGCCAACCAAAGGTTGAAGAGACCTGTTTGATCACACTCTTCAAAGTCATTTTTTTGCATATTTTAATAGATTGAAAAGGAAAGTTACAGGTTATATTTAAATAGTGTTCCCTGTCATTGGATCTTGACACATTTTAACCTACCTGTTAAAAAGCAAGTTATAAATAGCTCCTCTTTCAAAGGTGTTCATTATACCTCATTGGCTCTTGTTATAGAAAATGCAAATGTAATTTGAAAAGTGCCCACTCTGAGCATGAGCAATTACTGGTGTTCTTCTCTACCTGGTTCATTGTCAGCCTCACTACCTGGTTAAAAAGCATGTCTGCCTTTGAAATGGAGATTGCCTCGGCGGCTGGCTGGCTGCCTGGCTAAGTAGGTAATGAGAAAAACCTTTTGCTTTTTCCAGGGGAGCAAGCAGCTGCTGAACAACTATCCAGTCTACATAACAAGCAAGCAGTGGGACGAGGCGGTAAACTCTTCTAAGAAAGATGGCAGACGGCTCCTTCGCTATCTCATCAGATTTGTTTTCACAACCGATGAGCTTAAGTACTCTTGCGGCCTTGGGAAAAGGAAAAGGTCAGTGCAGTCAGGAGAGACAGGTCCTGAAAGACGCCCTCTGGATCCAGTTAAAGTAACATGCCTTCGAGGTACTGCATCCTTCCACTCAGCGTCCGCCATCTGTGATCTCATTTCACCGCATGGGCTGTGGCTCCCCGCGTCCAAGTGTTCAGCCTTACTGTATTTTTCTTTTTCTTTCCCCCTGCTGCGACCTTTTAGGCTTCATGTGGCCCATTCACTTGGCATTGAGAAGCTCTTTCAGAATTCTCCCTTTGCTTGAGCCTTGGTGTTCTCACTTAATGGTACATAAACATTACATAACACCTCATGTTTCACACTTTAAAATCAGATTTCCATCGCCACCAGAGAAGGCTGCCTTCTGCAAAAGTAGAAGATCGGGGAATGCATAGGACAAGGATAGATGTGGGATTTAAAATAGATCTATAGTGTTTAAGAAGCCAAGGTGGTGTGGTGGTTGAATGGTCAGCTGCTAGTGAATGTCAGTGGTTTGAACCCTTCGACTGCTCTGAAGGAGAAAGGGTAGTCTCCTCCTAAAAAGATTTACAGCTTTGGAGACCCCAGTTCTACCCGGTCCTGTAGAGTCGCTGTGAGTCCGAATCAACTCAGCGACAGTGATTACATACTATTTGGTCAAATATCCCATTTCCCATTCTACTCTGCACTCCTTTCTAACTACTTTCTTAAGAATACTTCTAACTAATTCTGTCAGTCTGTTTAGAATTTCATCTTCCTTAGTGCCTCAGGTATGTAAATCTTGCCCAGCAAATCTGTCTTTCATTAGTTAAGAAAGGAAATTCTGTATTCAAATACTATTGAGGTAGTGCTATTTCATCACTATTAACAAGTGACTACTTGTATTCATTCTATTTGAGGGCCAGAGTGGAGAAGAAAAATGAGAGATGGCCAGTTAATTCACCAGATGCAAGAAACAGTACAAGTAGAACATTAGAGTGTCAGCAAAAACACCATTCACACTTGAAAACCCATAGCAGAAAGCTCAAATATTAACCTCTCTGGTTCAATAGCAGTTTTATCAGCTGGCAAGACTTAATATTGATTTGCTCTGGACAGGGATCAGAATGTTTCCTTATGAGAAAATGAAAAACGTGGTCACTCATATAGCCTTGTTTATCAGAAAGGAGAGAGTCCTCTTTACATCCCTGCAGTGATCTTCACACATATATTTGCGACACTACCCATGTCTAAGGCACATGTATGGTATCTGTTCCTCGAATCCAACTCATAGGGGCTCTCCAGTGGATTTCCGATGGCTCTAAAAAATGTTCAAGAGGAAACTGCCCCTCTTTCTTCCAAGGAGCAGCTAGTAAATGAACACTTGGCCTTTTGGCCAGCAGCATGACAGATAACACACCATACCAGCAAAGCTACTTGTAGTATCTCCCAACAGCCTAGGTTCTCCATACTCTTTCCCAGACAATCTGAGGCAGTAGGTCTAGGGAGGGTGGTCATATATTGCGCGCATTCTGCTCTCTCTCTCTCGCTCTCTCTCTCTCTCTCACACACACACACACACACACACACAGAGTTGCTACACATACATACTTCAGATGATCCTGAGGCAAGTGGCCCATACGGAGAAAACCAGCTGAAATGAATGTTAACTAAAAGCAGGTGCTTAAAAGAACTCCATCTTGGCTGGTCTGAAAATCCTACTCACTCAAAGTGTTAGATGATCAAAATTTCTAGGTTCCATCTTAACACAAGATAGAAGATAATGGAGTAACTCACCAAGAGGCAGTAGGGAGCTTGGAGACTTTACGGAGGGCATCCACTGTGTACTTGGGGACGCTGTCCTTAGGCTCACAAGGATGATAAGATAAGGAGTCCCACAGTGGCTTGCCTTTCCAGAAGTTCTGATTAAGTATGTTAACATTTTAACCAGCAAGTCGGTGAAACGGTGACAAAAATGCCTCCCACACACCACTGTTGCTGTGCTGAGGACATTGCTGGGCCCAACATCCCATCACGCAGATGCCGTTCAGGCTGCCTACCTGGAGACTACATTCACCCATTGCTTTCTCATTTACAACCTACTGGCTTCCTCCCTTGTGGAAGAGAATGCATACACAAGAAATGGTGGGTTTGTGTGTTGTAGGGCAGCTTGTTAAGAGTGTTGAAATTTTTATCCTGAAGGTTGAGATCCTTGGACCTTCCTGTAGACTAGATTTGATTCTTTCCATAGAGATTTAGGTAACATGGCACTCTGATTGTCAGGTCTAAAGACTCCCAGGTGGATGTCCCTGCTATAGTGGGCAAGACGAGAAACGCCAAGAAAACGGGCAAGACGAGAAAGGCCAAGGAAACTCTCAGATTTTGGAGATTCTAGTGATGGAAGACAGGGTGCTATGGGAAATGGAATCAAATTCCAGACTCTAAACTGCTTCCTAAAGTGGTTTGACTCTAGAGGAAAGAGGGTCTGTGATAATGCTTCATGTTTTTATATAGCAGCATGAACTCTACTCTGAGCTCTCAATAATCTTTGTTACAAAACCAGAGAAATCCTGTCATGATCATGACTGTGATGAAAGAGATGAGGAAAGGCAGGGCACAGACCGGCACACTTGGGCAGAATCAAGATGGCGCCATTGTCTTGCAGGATAGATGCTTTTACACTCAATCATGAGCCTTTATTTCCCTTTACTGGTCATTTTAGTCTTTTTTTTTCTTCAGTGAGAGGGAATGCTGAGAGAAGAAAGTTACTTAAGGATGGGCTATTAAATACTAGGGATGAGAGGAAGACAAAAAAGGTATAGAAAACCGAATCCTTGTCTTCTGGGGCTCATAGTCTGGCTCAAGATGATTTGAGGACAATTAAGACTAGCATGTAAACAAAAGAAAAATCAGGGAGAGGGGCTAAGTAGGTCAACTCAGAGGTTCCAGAATCGTCCTTCCTGCCTTCATGAGATTCTGACCACCCTCACCTACATTTGAGGATTATCCTTCAGTGTTTCTCAGATCTGCGTCTTGGAATTAGCCACCTTTTTCCTGACAATTTTACAGAGTGAGGAGATGAGTAAGCATGGTTCTTTTGCACAGAAGGGTAACCAGCCCTGGGAACAAGATGAGGCAAAATATTTAAGAGAATGCCAAACGCTTAATGATGACCTGCTGTCTCCCTAGAAACCAGACTCTACCTAGATGTGCGCAGCTCAAATCATGAAGGGTTTTGCTTTGTTTCTTCTCATTTAAGTTGTTTAAAGTGTCAGCTTCTCCATGCATTTGAAAACATCAAACTTCATATCCTATAGCCAGAGCTTTTACATTATATTGTGCGTAAATTACGTTTTAATAAAAACCCCATCTTAACTTACAACTTTTTTCCCAAATGCTTACTTCAGTCAGCAAATATTCATTTTAAAATAATTGCTACTTTAGAATTACCTATGTGCCCTACCCCTTGGAAAATAGAGTAAGGGTTAATTTGAGCTTGATCTGAAGGAAACCTTGTTTGTTTCCTGGTAGCCACGGGGGGGGGGGGTGTGCATGTGTGTGTATGTATGTACATATGTATAGTATATACACATATGCAAACACAAATAAAATACATCACACTTTTTATACATTTACTCCTTGAGTCATGCCAATCGCTCTTCTGATGAAATTAAATGTTTACAGGAAATCCCATTTAAAAATATTTGTCAGGGCTTGCATAGCTGCAACACATAAAAATAAACATTTCCTGTGTTGCAAGGTTTTAAGACTGTGGAAAGATTTTCTGAGCTAGCACAGAGACACTGTCCCACATACTGCGACATTGGTTTTATCTTCAGGCTGATAGCAGATTAAAGAATACTAGACTGGTAGTATACTTGCTTTTAGCAGTAGTGAAGAACAGATAATGTGGGTTCAAACCATACAGTTTTAAATGTACTCCGTAATATACGTGGTGGGTAGTGTGGTTTAGAAATTAATTAATTTCATTTCAGCAGAAATATTTCTTAGAGGGATCAAGGCCTCACTTACTTGAGTTTTGCTTTATCCACAAGAACAACATAACATGTGGAATAAGTCAGGTCTAATGAGTTACATCATCATGGCATTACATCAGACTTCCCATAAAGCTTTCCTTTAGAGCTTTTGCTTAAATATAAGCAGTCTCTCTTGTTATTTTCTACAAAAACCAGCTGTTTCTGTCTTTCTCTTTTTTATTGTTGTGTATATTCCACAGAATTCATTAGGATGCACTGTACCTCCAACCCCGATTGGTGGATGCCCTCGGAGGAGCAGATTAACAAAGTGTTCAGCGATGCAGTGGGTCATGCCCGACAGGGCCGGGCCGTGGGGACCTTCCTGCACAATGGCGGCTCATTCTACGACGGGATAGATCACCAGGCTTCGCAGGATGAAGTCTTCAATAAAAGCTCCCAGGATGGGTCTGGGGATTAGTGGACAAAATCCTTCTACTGTAGCAGCTGGTCCTCCCAAGAGTTCCAATTGTGAATGTCCTGTTAACATCACTTTAGAGTCCAAAGCATGTCATTCTGTTGCAATTGAAACACTCCAAACTTTAACTCTCTTGACCTACTAGTACTACACTTCCCAAATAGAAATCCATTTTAGGGTTGTTTGGGAAGTCTGTGGTGCCTACAAAAGACTTTTCAGGATATTGTAAGAAGCAAAAACTACAAATCATTAGAAATGATTAATAGATGATGAGAGTGAAAAGGTAGGTAACATCTCTGAAATCTTCCGGGTGAGTCCTGCTTTCTGAACAAAGCTGGTGCCCAAGGAGGGGTGGGTTCTTTAATGTTTGTGTCCATGGGAGAAGGTAACAAAACAGATTGTTTAAGGCACGGAGAACAAATGTTCTCTGGTTTTAATTCAGATAACTTACTTTTCTCTTTCCCAAAGATTTGAAGCGAAGACATAGGAGAGGTGACGTATACAGTCTCTATACTAGCAAGGCTTATTATTGGAAACCCTGGTGGCACAATGGTGAAGCCCTCAGCTGCGAGCTGAAAGATTGGCAGTTCACACCTACTTGGAGGCTTCACAGGAGCAATCCTCCAAGATTATAGCTTGGAAACCCCTGTGGGTCAGGCTTAGTGTGTCACATGGGCTCTCTGTAAGTTGGCATTTATCAGTGTTATTAGAAACCAGAGAACAGAGGCCACCTCTGCGGACCATGACGAGTTGGAGGGCACCTCTTTTCCTCAGTTATTTTTACACATAGTTCCACTGTGTTGATAAAGAATGCAGTCCATGGTTTCTGGAGTTTACAAACAGTGACAGTTTTTAATCCATCAGTCAGGAAACATCCAAAGATCCCCAGTCACTTTCAGATGTCTGATTGTAGGTTCCTGTACCCACAATTGCCACAGCCTTAAATCAGGCTTTGTTGACACCATGCCAAAGTGCTTGGTGGAACAATGAGAAATTCAATCACCGAGTTTGTCTGGTTCACTGAGGACCAAACCACTGGTGTGACTAATGGTGTTCACTGAATTGACCAGATGTGCTGCTGTTGTATACATTCAATTTCAAGGCCATTCTCAGCAGTATGCAATGGGCTTATCTGTAAATTCTCTGAAATCAGAGGGGCTTTCTGTCCTGAGTTGATCTTTATAATTTGCATAAAACTATTGTTTGTGCTGATGTCATTGATAAGAATGTTTTGTAACAACTGTTGTGTGCTACTGTCAGCTGTTAGCTTTGGCTAAGTCAGTGCTGTACTGCTCCCTCCCTCTTCCCCTGTGCTTCGTTTGCTGTCCTCCAAATGTGAAATTAATGAATGTGTTTAGAACTTTCCTGAAAAAAACACCTGCAGACGAGATGCTAGGATTCCTGAGAGCTTCGGGTTTGAATGTCAAGAACAATTTCCTTTATCAAGCATGTCCAGATTACTACGTCCTCTTTAGAGCAAAAGGCTAAAGGAACCGTGTTTAGTGAAAGCTATTTATTAACTGTTCTTTACAGGTATGACTAAGGGGTTTTGACAATTTCTTGGAAAGTCATTTAAAGTGTCTAAGCATCCACTTATAACATTTTTAATGGGTTTTTTTGGTCAAAATTAATTAACAAGCAATTGATTGTTGTCAGGTATGGAGAAGTTGACTCTGGCCCATCATGAGCCTAGTATGAACCGCAGAACAAAACCCTACCCAGCCCCGCAAGATCCTCACCGTCTCTGCTCTGCTAAGACCTTTGTTGCACTCGCTGTGTAAATCCATCTTATTGGGGCTCCATCTTTCTCGATGACCTTCCACTTAACCATGCTCTGTGTCCCTGTCCAGCAGCTGGCCCCTCCTGATAACATGCACAGAGTCTGTGAGAAGCCTCACTGTCTTTACATTCAGGGAGCACTCTGGCTTGACAGAGCTTTCCATAGTTTTGCTATGAGTACTAGCTTTCACTGAAAGCTTTTTTCATTGAAAAGCTTAATATTTATGGAGCTGGCCATTTGTTAAATGAAATGAGGAAAACTAATATTTCTAGTTAGCTAAAATTTAGCACTTAAAAAAATAAAAGACAAAAACCCCACAGTGTTGCTTATGGGAACCAAAAGACCAATAACATTGACCCCCGCAAAAAGTAAGGACATTTCTTGTCTTGAAAAGTTTAGGGGAGCTCTGGTGGCCTAGTGGCAAGAAAGCTGCACTGCAAACCCAGAGTCACACAGTTTGAATCCACCAGATGCTCTGCTGGAGAAGGAGGGGCAATTTCCTCCTGTACCAGTCAGATCTGATTTGACAGTATACACACACAAAAATAGTAAGATAAAAAATGTTAAAAAAAAAAAAGTTTTCCAAAGTTGAGAAGTCCAGGTCTTAGTGAAAGTCTGGCAACATAAATCTTAGCCTGAAGAAAAGCACCATCTCATCTGGCCGCTCAGCTGACCTTTCCTTTGTTTACTCTGGGCTTTAGTGATTCTCACCGTTTAGTGTAATTTGCTTTTCTTTCTATTTCAGAACTGTTTGGTCACTGGTGTTTTTTGTTTTTTGCTGGGTTTTGTGTTTTTTTTTTTTTTTAGGATAAACAGTTTCTTTATTAGCGGCTGTTAAAGAAACTAGAATCAAGCAAATTCCAACTTTGGAAAGGGTAATCCTTTTTTTTTTTTTAAATCTTCCAACCCATAGTGCTTTGTCCATCAAGCTTGAGGAGTCTTTTGGCCTCCCCGTTCTAAGGCACCCTTGAGTCCTGTGTTGTACCAGTCGTTGTTGCGGGAGACGAAAGAGCATCCGGCACCCATCCCCATAGCTTTATACGTTGCCATGATCCAGGATGCAGTGTTGGCGCCGCTGCTGTGAGGGAGGCAGACTGGAACCTCCGCTCAGCTGTAATTATTGCCACCACCTAAGAAAGCTTCTGCTCTAGATTGTATCTCTCAGCCTTCATGATTGCATACCTCGTGGTCTCCCTCAACAAAATCTCTGTTCCCAAATAAATACTGGTGTTCCATTTTACCCAGCTCTTTTGCACGTGCAGATGCTAGGGCCCTGAAAGATGAACTCACACAGTCCATTTTAATGTCCTCTCCTGGGTAACCTAGTCTTTCACATAGCAGCTAAGTGCATTAACTATTTGCATCATTCAGGAAGTCTCTGAACTCTGACCAGTGAGAGATCATTTGTTACCGTGGTTCTGTCAGCTGATCTCTTTGGAGACTTGAAGGAGTGGCTTATTTTCCTGATTCGATATTTTCACATCAGTGTCTGGCAATTGGACAAATGTCTGTGCTTGTGAGGAACTGAGTCACATAGCTCTTGGCATTCTTTTTGAGACATGGTAGTATGGGCATAAAATGCACTGAATTAAAACAATCTAGGATGCAACTGTATTTCACATCATTGGTGAGAGAAGGTCACAGTGTTGACCTGACATCGATGACTAAGCTTGGATTTTCTGTCCCTGACTAGATGTGTCAGTCTGTCGGAGATTCCACACTGACCAACAGTGACGGTGCTTTCAGGCGTGCCACAGAAGTCATGCCTGCTATTCACAGTGAGGTGAAGTTCTGGCCAGATTCAGAATTGTTGTTCAGTGATCCTTCCTATCCCCTATAGAAGATCTGTCTTAAGAAATTGGCTGACATGAGCAGTAATCTGCAAGTAGTTACTCAAGCCACATTTCTTATGGTCTCTTTTGAGGCACATTGTTCTAAAGGCTGTATTTCAACCTCAATGTTATGTGCTATGGAGGAAAAGTCAACATTTACGTTTTTGCCTTCCCCCTTTACTTGAAAGCATTTCATCAGACTTCACTCTCTGTGGTCTTCATTTCTGCCGCTGAGTTTAGGTTGCCGGCACCTCTTCGTTCTGTAAGGCTTCACTAGGATTGTGAAGGGTACTCATGAGAGCATCTCCTGAAAACTGCTGGCATCTCCTCTGGGGGTGTAATTATTGCCTACTGCCCAGTCAGAGCTGACCCTCTAAGTGGCTTTTCAACTACTTGGGAAGAGATTGCCCATCTTCTCCCACAGAGCAGCTGGTAGGTTCAAACTGCATACCTTGCGATTGGCTGCATAATTCTTTACCACTGAAGCCACCAGAGTTTACCAACTCCTTCAGTAAATGAACTAAGTATATATAGATGTCCAGAACTGTACAACAAGTGATGTATGCTTTGATCCTTTCTACTGCTTTCGCCAGCCATCTTTTACGATCATTAGGAGATGTAAATTAGACATTATTTGATCCATCTAGACTGTACAGCGTGAAGTAATGTAAACTGATGTTGATAGAATGTCTTTTTAAAAAAAATCCAGTGGCTATTATTATAATCCCAGATATTTCCCTTTCATATAGACAATAATCCAAACTTGACATTTCGTTGATTTGTTATTGCTATATTTTCCTGCTATCTTTAATACTTTTGCCCCTGTTTACTTGATATTAGAAAGTGCTTAAATTGCAGAATATCATATGTGGTGAAACATACACTGTTTCCAGAAAAGCAAAATGAGATTACTTTGTCTCCCTCATTCAACATCTATCTCATTGTATATATACTCTGGAAGCTAAAGGAGCTCTGGTGGGGAAGTCTGTATGGAGTTTCGCTGCTAACCTGAAGGCAGTGCCTCTCTGGTGGTTCAAATCCACCAGCAGACCCTAAAGATAAAGATGGGAAATTTCCTCCCAAGCAATTACAGCCTCCAAAAACCCACTGTTGTGTCAGCCCTGAGTCAGTTCTGAGTTGATGGCAATGAGTTTGAGTGTGTAGAGCTCTGAAAGTTAAACTTAATACCCACGAACTACCTCTTTAGTTTCTTCTCAGATTTCAGTTATATATTCAAACTTATACTCTTGGGATAACTTGATTTTTAGGAGCTATTAAAGTGTACTGATTTATCATTCTCTGCTATGTTGTTTCACAGTACAAATCCATGTTTTAATTTTTAGCAGCTCTTATATACAAATTTTTGAAACGTAATAGAAAATTATTTTGCA